AAAAAAAAAAAAAAAAAAAAAAAAAAAAAACACATCATAGTAAAATTAATACATTCTCAGCTTCGCATCGAAGCTAAAAGCATCATAGTAAAATCAAAATATGCTCAGCTTTGTATTGGAGTTATTATAAATATAACATAATTTTATAAAAAAAATTGATCACTAGTGACTAATTAATTAAATAAAATTAAAACTATATTAATAATATTATTAATTTATAAACTAAAAAATATTAAACTCAAAAACCACAAAAAATTATTGAAAAGTAGATACGTATTTCGAAAACAATGTTACGAATATCAACGCTAAACTTATACATTGCCATTCATGAATGATGCATGAACAATTAAATTAATTTAATTAAAGAATTATTATTAAATAATATTAGATAATTGTTATGTTAAAATAAATAATAATTACCGGACAAGATGAGATTATAATATTTTGTTTGGTGCGGCTGGTTTCCTTTATACCAAATTCAGTTAAAAAAAAAAACATATTGAAATTAGTAGATTTTATTAATTGTACTTTTTATCGGTATTTTTCGATTAGCAGTTGTAAAAAGTAGAGGAAAACATAACAAAAGCATCATACTAAAATCAAAATATTCTCAGCTTTATATTGGAGTTAATATAAATACATAATCTGTCATTTATGAATAAATGACTTCATGAACAATAAAATTATTAAAATTAAAGAATTATTATTACATTATAGTAAAAAAATATTTTGTTATAATAAATAAATTAAAATAAATAATAATTACCATATAAGTTGGGGTTTCTATAAGTTCATCCAGAGAACTTGATTCCTTTATATCAAATTAAGTTTAAAAGTAAAACCATATTGAAATTAGCAGATTTTATTAATCGTAATTTTTATGAATTTTTTCTATTAGAAGTTGAAAAAAGTAATGGAAAACATAACACAAGCATCATAGTAAAATCAATATATTCTCAGCTTTGAATTGGAATTAAAATAATACATAATTTGTCATTTATGAATGAATGACTGCATGGACAATAAAATTATTAAAATTAAAGAATTACTATTACGTTATATTAAAAAACAACCCAGCACAGTGGAGTCGAGGCATAGTTGAGACGTTGCATAGTTGGGTTCAGTGTAGATTTAATCTGACAGTGATTAAAATCACTATCATAAGAAACGCTTCAATTGAGCGTATTATAAAATTTGATTATAATTGTAAAAATCCATCGTTAAATTCAGGTGAAACTAAAAATCATTTTTTTTTTAATATATGATTTATATAGCGACATGTTACAAAAAAAATTTGAAATATTATAGACTAATAGTAATAACTCAAATTAAATACGAATTGTAATCATTTGACGTATCTTTGAAATAGTAGGTCTAGTGAGAGTTGGCAAAATAAATCGTAGCCACAAAAAGAAACTACATAGTAAAATAATATTAAAATGAATATAAATTTCTTATCACGAGGGGAGACGATAGTGATAAGATCCTTTATACTTATTGAAATTATTGAATCTAAATGAGATAAATAACAAAAGGTTTAGAAATTCTATTCTAACTCAAAAAAAATGCAAAATATTAATTGCCACAGACGGATTTGAACCTCGTAACGTTAGCATGAAAGACACAAGTGTTACTGACTCGGCAACTGTTCGTTGCTTTCGCAGCTAAAAAAAATTGGACATTTAAGCTAACTCAAATTTAAAAATTATTTTTTCGAGTTTAAAAAAGTAAAAAAATTTTAATAAGTTTAATTTCATATGTCTTATGAACTTTATGCTATGTCAATTAAATTATATAATATTCATGAAAGTCAGTGTATTCCCCTAATAAGATATTTTAAAATAAAATAAAATACAAAACCCAGAATTTTAATAAAAAAATAGCATATTTTTGAATACGGTAGCCATTTGCGAATAGAAGATAGGTCGTCGGGAAAAATTTTTTTTTTAAATTCTATAGTACATGACATAAGCTTTAATTTGATATATATTTAAAGGACGCAGTATTTCCGGAACATTTTAAAAAGTCAAGTTAAAAAAGTTCTACTTTTTATACAATGTTTCAAAGTTTAAACCCCTCCCCTATATAAGGGGAAATTGTCTAATTTTAATAAAAAGTATGTCAAACGAAAGATGAACTTATAATATATTTAGAAAAAAACAATTTGTGCTGATTCGTACATTTTTCGAAAAGTTATAGCATTTTTAAGTTGAAAATTTAAAATCGAAAATTTTCACACAAAAATATCGTTTTATAACTACAGCAGTCGTTTACTTACAGAAGATAAAATGTCGGGACAAATTTTTTATTTTCATTTTATAGTGCATAAAATAAGCTTTAATTTGATATATGTTTAAAGGACGCAGTATTTCCAGAACATTTTCAAAAATTAACATGAAAAAGTTAGTTTTCGTAAAAAAGTTGAGAAGGTATGGGATTTTAAAAAAAAAAAAGTGAAAAAAATGACAAAATCTAGCAATTTTTAAATTTGTAATATTTTTGGAGATTTCCCCCATTTGCGGGGAACGAGGGAAAATTTTTCAATTTTTAAGGGTAATGTCTTCAATTAGATACAATTTTTGTTCTTTTGACGTATTGTTGAAAGAAGTCGGTTCAGTGAGAGCTGAGAAAAAGTAGTGACAGACACAAAAAAAGAAAAATAAACACATCATAGTAAAATTAATACCTTCTCATCTTCCCATCGAAGCTAAAAAATAGAAAACACATCATGGTAAACTTAATACATTCTCAGCTTCGCATCGAAGCTAAAATTGTTGTGTTAAAATAAATAATAATTACCTGATAATGTCCAATATCTTTTCGGGTACGGTTTGTATCCTTTATAACAATTTTATTTTAAAAGTAAAAACATTGAAATTAGTAGATTTTATTAATTGTATTTTTATGAATTTTTTCAATTAAAAGTTGAAAAAGTAACGGAAACATAACAAAAGCATCATAAAAAAATCAATATATTCTCAGCTTTGTATTGGAATTAACATAAATACATAATTTGTCATTTATGAATGTATGATTGCATGAACAATAAAATAATAAATTATTATTAAATTATATTAAAATAATATTTTGTTATAATAAATAAATTAAAATAAATAATAATTACCGGAAAATATTGGGTTTTCCTTATTCTACTGGATTTGCTTGATTCCTTTATACCAAATTACGTTTAAAAGTAAAACCATATTGAAATTAGTAGATATTATTAATCGTAATTTTTATGAATTTTATCTATGAGAAGTTGAAAAAAGTAACTGATAACATAACAAAAGTATTATAGTAAAATTAATATATCCTCAGCTTTGATTTTTATTACGTTTTTCAATTTACAAATAACATTTTTAATTATGACTGACGAAATTTCCGGTCCCAAAAGTTATATTCAGCATACGTTTTTGCATTTTAGGTACCTTAATTTTGGATATAAAACCCAAAAATGTGTTTTTTACAACTCGTATCACGAAGTTACAACTTCACAAATTGTCGATAATGAAATAAAATTACATCACGCATTTGGAGCATTTGATGGTGATGTACTTGCTCATATATCTGACATTCTCGAGATACCGCCATCAAACACCAAGTATTTAAAATTATAACAAGTTTTAATTGTAAACCTTTATGAATCGGATGAAAAAAAACTTAATAAATTACTTCGCGACTTAGAGTTTGGATAAGAAACCATCTTATTTACTATACAAAGTGCAACAACTAGTGGGTATTCGCGTGTTTGAATATATTTTAAAAAACCTATGATTTCAACGTCTACCCAGTCAAACGCAGACTATACTAACATCTAGTACTGATTCATTATGTGTACTGACAAGATAAGCGAGTAAATTATACTCATTCTGTTGTTTCTGTAACACCAGAAAAAACAATGTAAATGTAACACATAGTTGGAGCATTAGATGGCGATGTACTTGTTCATATATCTGACATTCTCGAGAAACCGCCATCAAGCAACAGGTATTTAAAATTATAAGAATTATTAATTGTACGTCTTTCTGAATTGGAAGAAAAAAAACTTAATAAATTACTTATCGACTTAGAATTAAATGATAAGAAACCATCATATTTACTATACGAATTGTAACAATAGTGCCTGAGGATATTTTAAAAAACCTATGATTCCAACGTCTACACAGTCAAACGCAGGCTATACTCACATCTAGTACTGATTCATTATCTGGACTAACAAGATAAGTGCAGTAAATAATACTCATTCTGTTGTTTCTGTAACACCAGAAAAACCATGTGAATATAACAAAGATGCTTTACGATCAACACTAGAACAATATATTATTCACTTACAACAGCAATTGAGTAACTCATTAGACAAGGTCACAGTCGAAACCGAAACCGTTCAAATCATTATAGAACCAACAGATAAAAATCGCGTGACAATAAAGAAATCCAAAATCAGCTATGTTATTATCATGCTAAGTTCAAAAAGTGAGCAAGAATATGTAAATTTTGCTGTTGGAGGAGTTTTAGAACAAGGAGAGGATAAAATCTAGATGCTATTAACATTTTTCTCAAAAAATCTAAGTGCCACCCAACAAAAATATAGCACCTATGATAGAGAGCTGTTTGCTACATACCTAGCATTTAAGAATTTCAAACATATGTTGCAAGCAACAATATTTATAATATGGACTGATCTCAAATCTATAGTGTATGCATTTAACCAAAAGTTAGACAAATGTTTACCTAGACAATTTGAGCATTTAGATTTCATTGCACAATTTACTACTGACATCAGACATATTTATGGAAAAGAAAATATCACTGCTGATTTCCTTTCTAGATTTGGACAAATAAATGTAAAAACAATTAATTTTGAAGAAATTGCAAAAACACAGAAAGAAAATTCTGAACTAAAAAATTTTCTTAAGAAGAACACTATTATGAAACTAAGCAAAAAAACTTTTCCTGTATCGAATTTTTCCCGAAATATGATATATCAACTGATGCAATCCGACCATACAATCCAGTGACTCATCGTAGACAAGTGTTTAACATTGTTCATGGACTATCCCACTCTGGAGTCAAAGAAACTACATACTTAAATAAAAGTAAATTTATTTGACCAAACGTAAATAAAGATATTTTATTGTGGATAAAAACATGTATACCATGCTAACAGTCAAAAATTAAAAGACTTGTTATAAGAGCTCCAGCAATTTTTCCAACACTCAATTGACGTTTCCAAAATAAACACATTTATTTATTTATAACATTTTATACAGGCAAAGCCCAAAAATATATAACAGATTTCATAAACATCATTAGAATAAAGTTTAGTGAGAAACAAATAACAAAAGAATAATTATATATACATAGAAACAAGATAAATAAAAAAAGAAAACATAAACGCGGCTTAATTAAAATAATTCGAATGTTGGATCATTATTAGCCAACCGAATAAAGCAAATCGTTGGGACAGAAAATATAAAATGAGAAGGAGTAGTGGGAATGAGGAAAGTAGTGTTAGAACGGGTAGTGCGAAGAGGGATTTTATATCTTAAAAGGCTAAGAATTTTGGTTAGAATCTATTTTGTTGGATAGGAGATTATTTATGAAGGAGAGGTTTGAATTGTGGGGTCGATAAGCACGGCTGGAGAGATGTAAGGTTAAGAGGACAGGAGAGTAATCATGAGGAGTGTGAGGGAAATTGAAGCGGAATGCTATCAGGTTTAAAAATTTTCTTTGGACCCTTTCTAGTGATGCCCTTGCACAAGTCTTTTGGGGTTTATTTGATTTGATTAGACCCCTCCCACCTAACAATAAAGGCATTTATTGTTTGACATGTGTCGACAGATACACTAGATGACCAGAGGCATATCCTATGCAAGATATAACATCAGGAACGGTTACAAAAGAATGTTTTTCTTACTGGATTGCACGTTTTGGTGTACAAATTAGTTTGGTAACGGATCAAGGTACTCAACTAGAATCTACAGTTTTTAGTAATGTTACAAAGCTGCTTGGAATAAAAAAACCCAGCACAGGGGGGTCGTGGCATAGATGGATCAAGTATAATGATATTTGACAGTGATTAAAATCACTATCAAAAAAAAAAACGCTTCGATGCAAATCTTTAGATAGTGTTTAATTTTAAAAAATTAGTGAATTATTCCAAAAGCCACATGATCTGCTAGTTCCTTATTAATATCCTGATTAAGATAAAGTATATCGAATGAAAAAGAGATTATTAAAAAATAATATTTCTCATAAAAAAATTGTATTGAGCCATACACTTTTCTATATGTCATAGCATAATAAAGTTAAAAATAAATATAGTTTAAAAAAACTAAAAAAACACGCTTTTAAAGCACATCGAACTAAAAAGTTTAAAATAATTATGAATAAAAAAATACTAGTATTATTATGATAAAAGCGTCGGGCGCTCAATATACGAAAAATATGGCACAAAGCACCCACGCTTTTATCACAATAATACTAGTATTTTTTATTCATAATTATTTTAAACTTTTTAGTTCGATGTGCTTTAAAAGCGTGTTTTTTTAGTTTTTTTAAACTATATTTATTTTTTACTTTTTAATTCCATGTTATGATAGTAGTTACTATTAATATCATGGTGATAACGGGTAACGGGAAATCAGGGTTCGATTCCGGGGAGGGAGTCTGAAAAACGGCTCCCACATCCAAGGAATGCAGCAGGCGCGTAAATTACCCACTCCCTGAACATGGAGGTAGTGACGAAAAATGACGATACTGAATTCATCCTTTGTAATCGGAATGAATGAGTTCTATATTTTTAAATAAGAATAAAGTGTGTTAATATATATTTTTAATAGTAAATAGAATATATATATATATATATATATACATGTAAAGCGAATTAAGTACGTAAACGTATCATGCATTAGGTATAGCCGTGTTTTGTGGGCGGGCGGGTCGGACTAACGTTAAACCTGAGGTATAAACAGCGGTAGGAATATATAAGTAAGCTGTATGCATGTGGATGATAATGGTCAGTCAAAATAAAAATTTGTTTATATATATATAATATTGATGACTAGCACACGGGTACGATAACCAAAAATAAATTTATACAGGAATAGTATTACCGGCGTGTAATGAGCGAGGCGTGGGGTGAATGCGTTATGACAGTCTAGTCTAGACGACGGAATATGCGATAACGCGTGGCGTTTGGAGAGTTACAAACATACATACATACAGGTAAAACTAATATAAGCGTGTTAAAAAGCCATTAACATATTTATATATATATATATATGTGTATGTAGTTGACACAGTTGTAAAAAATATAACTAAAATGAGTAGTTTTATTTATTGAAATATAAATGGCAAATAAATGATTAATCTTGAAACTGAATAATGCATTATGTAATTTTTAAGCGATAAAATAAAATTAACTTTGTTGAAATGTCAAAGAAAAAAAATTTCATAGAAAATTTGCATAATACCATTTAATTGAATAATTTTTAAAATAAGCGTAAAACAATAATGAACGAAAAGTACTAGTATTATTGTGATAAAAGCGTGGGTGCTTTGTGCTATATTTTTCGTATATTGAGCGCCCGACGCTTTTATCACAATAATACTAGTACTTTTCGTTCATTATTGTTTTACGCTTATTTTAAAAATTATTTTTAACTTTTTAGTTCGATGTTCTTTAAAAGCGTGTTTTTTAGTTTTTTTAAACTATATTTATTTTTCACTTTTTAGTTACATGTTATGATAGTAGTTACTATCAATATCATGGTTGTAACGGGTAAAGGGGAATCAGGGTTCGATTCCGGAGAGGGAGTCTGAGAAACGGCTACCACATCCAAGGAAAGCAGCAGGCGCGCAACGTGGAGGTAGTGACGTAAAATGACGATACGGGAATCATCCTTTGTAATCGGAATAAATACCCTATATATCTCTTAATGAGAATAAAGCGTATTAATATATAAGTTTTAATAGTAATTAGAATATATATATATATATATATAAATATATATGTAAAGCGACTTAAGTACGTAAACGTATCATGCACGAGGTATAGCTGTGTTTTGTTGGCGGGCGGGGCGCGAGGCATATATGGCGGCAGCGGCGTCGGCTGTAGGGATATATAAATGAATATTAACATATACGTATATATAAATAATAATATATATATGTATATATATATATTAATATTAGCGGCGATGGTAAGAATATATAATCTTCGCATAATATCGTGGCACTTTCGTTGGCGTCGACGACGCGATGTCCGGCGTTATCCTCGGGCGTCAAAAGGTTAGCAGCGTTGATGGCAACGGTGCGCGAGTGGAGTTCGGTTTATTGACGTTGCCACTTTGACAACAGGAAGAATACTACGGTATCATTAGTGGCGGTACGTCGTCGGCCGTGCGGCACTTGCTGGACTTTGCACCGCGGCGTATAACGCGCGGTGTTGGTCAGTCAAATACTCAAAATTATACAGAAAAAAATAGTGTAAGCGCCGACTGGTGAGCGGGGTGGGGTGAATGCGTTACGACGGTCTAGTCTCAAGGTCATAGACGACGGCATACGCGACATAATAACACGTGCCGCGTGGAGTTACAAACTTACAACAAACGACAAACAACAAACAACATACATGTGAAACTAATATAAGCGTGTTAAAAATGTAAAATACAAAATCGAAAATTTTCACACAATAATAGCATTCGGTAGCCATTTTCACCGTGAACATAAAATAAAGTCTGAAATTTTTTTTTTGCATAATAAAGAACATTACATTAGCTTTAATTTAAGATATATAAAAGTGTCAGACCTTCCGGAACACTTTCAAAAAAGTTGAAAAAGTTAATTTTTTGTGAAAAAGTTGTCATTTTAAATCCCTCCTCGTGGACAGGTAAAGGGTTAAATTTATAAAAAAAATATACCAAATGAAAGGTAATGATATTATGCATCTATATAAAAAAGAATTATATTGATATGTTCATTTTTAAAAAAGTTATGGCAGTTTTTAGTAAAAAAAATTGAAAAAATTTCGAAAATTAGGGATTTTTAAATTTGTAATTTTTTGGAGGTTTCCCTCATTTACGGGAAACGAGAGAATTTTTTTCAATTTTTGTGGGTAATGTCTTTGACTAGTTACAATTTGTGATCTTTTGACGTATCATTGAAAGAAATCGGATCGGTGAGAGCTTAGAAAAAGTGGTAACAAACACAAAAAAAAAAAATCTTAGTGAAACCAATACCTTCTCAGCTTCGCATCGAAGCTAAAAATTAGGACAACATTATTTCACCCTCAATCTAAAGGACTTGTGGAACTATTTCACATACAGTTAAAATCTGCAATTATGTGTTATGAGTCAACAAATTGGGTTGAGAGTATACCCAGTATTTTATATAAAATGTGTTGCAGTCTGAAAGAAAATATGAAAGTTTCATCAATTGAGTTAGTATACGGATGCACTTCAAGATTGCCTGGTGAATTTATTACACCTAGTAATGTTCATGAAGATTCAATAACATATGCAGCTAAGCTTCGTCAAAGGTTAAGTGATCTAAGACCTGTACCGACATCAGCGCACGGTAAAAAAAAAAATTTTATCAAAGATTTAAAGGGTTGTCCTTTTATTTTCTACGGAAAAAATTATATAAAAAAATCTCTCGAAAAACCTTTTGAAGGACATTTCAAAGTAATATAAAGGGCAGAAAAAACTTTTACATCACAATTAAGAAAAGGGGAGAAGAAAGTTTCCATCTACAGACTAAAACCAGCTTACATCGAAGCTCCAACCCAGCAACCAATTACTCAACAACAAACCTTTTAGTTACAAATATTTCCCCTACAGGACCAAATAAGGAAAGAATTATCTGAAAAAAAGAATCATCAAAAAATTACTAGATTTGAACGAGCCTTGCGATTACAAATGAGATTTAAAGACTGAAGAGATTTTACATTATATAGTTACGTATTATTTTTAATTATTAAAAAATAAATTTTTTAAGTATATATCTAATGAATACAATCACTTAACGTTTTCACTAATAGGGGAGTATATATCGTTGATACCATATTATCTACCTTCATCCCTGTAATAACAACATTTCGAAAAAGTAGAATATATTTTCTTTCCTTTATGCATGTATTGTTCTTGTAACATTTTTCACTCTCAAAATAAAAGCAAGTATGTTTAACAAATATTTTATGGTGTTCTTTAGTTTTAAAAAAAATAATTAATATAAAGATCCACAAGTAAAAAAATATTGAAATTAGTAGATTTTATCTATTGTAATTTTTATGAGCTTTTTTTCTATTAGAAGTTGAAAAAAGTAACGGAAAATATAACAAAAGCATCATGATAAAATCAAAATATTCTCAGCTTTGTATTGGAGTTAATATAAATATAACATAATTTTATAATAAAAATTGATCATTTGTTAATTTAATAAAATTAAAAATATTTTTAATTTAAAAACTAAAAATATTAAACTCAAAAGCAACAACAAATTACTGAAAAGTTGCAGTTAGGTATTTCGGAAACAATATTATTATCAACGTTAAACTCATACTGACATTGGCATTTATGAATGAATGATTACACGAACAATTAATTATATTGAATTAAAAAAAAAGTTTAATTCATTAATTTCTATGAAATTATAGTTTCATATTACATAATACGTTGTATTATTTAAAAAATAATGATTATTACCCGATTAGTTGGGTTCATAATATTATCTCTGGAGCTGCTGGATTCGGAAAAATTAGGTATAACACAAAGATTTAAAAAAAATATTACAACAATTTTTGAATTCATATTATTAAAATATTTTATAATAATATTAATTTTAATAACTGTATAAATTTCGTTTTGTTTGGTAAATGATTAAAAGCACTTGACTTTAAAGTAAGAATATATACACATATAATATAAATATATATTTAATTATGTGATACGTCACCACTAACTACATACAAACGTCAAAGGCGAGAACTTATGGTAGCTATATATTTGAACAGTTGATACTAGATAAAACGAAAAATAATTTGCTTTGTTGGCTACATTTTGTTTAGAAAATTCTACTGATTAAAAAATATTCAGTGACCCAACTACTATGCTATACTCAAAAGTGTAAAGCATTTGAGTAAATGTATTTGAATNCAAAGGCGTAAAGCATTTGAGTAAATGTATTTGAATAAAAGTATTCAAATACTTTCATTGGTATTGAATAGTATTTTTAAATACATTTAATAAAAAGTATCTGAGTAGTATTTTAAATACAATTATTTAGTATTTAATACTGTTTAATATTCAGTACTATTAATACACTTTTTTTTTTTTAATTTGCTAACCGTAACACAGCAAGCAAATAAAACTCAGTCAAAATGAAAATTGAGAATAATTCTCTGTTATTTTATATGTTACATTATAGTATAACATAATTATTGTGCTTATCTAAATGCTATTATGTATACATCTATTTTTAATACATCAGTTGAACCTACAATAGCCTAGTGCAGGTTCAAATGTTGTCTAACTCTATTGTCAATAAGACATACTTTACAGGTTTTTACACGTGTACTAATATTTATTTTTTTCGCCGATTAATCTCCAATAATTAATTTTATTTACCTCTAACAAAAAATATCGAAAATAATAAATGAGTTTTCTTAATTTAAGTGTACTCAATATTTGACTCAAATTACCCTCTTGGTAATTATTTAGGTGGAACCATTTGCTCTTAGTTAAAATAAAAACATTATTAATATTTTTTAATTGTATTCTTAGTATTTGAAATACTTTTGTAAAGTAATTGAGTAATACTCAAATACTTTTGTATGAAAAGTATTCAAATAGTATTTTAAATACATTTTTTTTTAAATATTTGAGTATTATTTAAAATACTTTTTAAAATTATTTTTTACAACTATGGTTATACCGAAGAAATAAAAAAAACCCCAGCACAGGGGGGTCGTGGCACAATGGTGACTTAGCATAGTTGGATCAAGTATAATTTTAAAAAACTGGTGGATCATTCCAAAAGCTACATGATTAGCTAGTTCCTTATTAATATCCTGATTAAGATAAATTATGTCTGATGAAAAAGGGATTATTGAAAAATATTATTTCCCATAAAAAAAATATGTTGATCCATACACTTTTCAATAAGTTATAACATTATAAAGTTAAAAATATAAAAAAGAATTTTTTTACAAAAATCGTATTTTTTTTATTAACTTTGATGTCTGTTTTCACAATGAAAATAAAATAAAGTGCGAAATTTTTTTTCCATAATAAAGTATATTACATTAGCTATAATTTATATATAAAAATTTATATATATATAAAGATATATAGTAAAGTGTCAGACCTTCCGGAACACTTTAAAAAGTAAAGTTGAAAAAGTAATTTTTTGTGTAAGAGTTGTCATTTTGAATCCCTCCCTGTGGGAAGTTAAAGAGTCAAATTTAAAAAAAAAAAAATACATCAAATCGTAGGTAAAGACATTTTATGCAACTATAAACAAAAATTATATTGATTTGTTCATTTATGAAGAAGTTATGGCAGTTTTCAACAAAAAAAAATTGAAAAAATTTCCAAAATTAGCGATTTTTAAATTTGTAATTTTTTTAGAAGTTGAAAAAAACGGGGAACGAAAAATACCAATTTTTCTCATTTAATTTTAATTCAAAATATCCCCTAGTTGTCTCCTAATTTGTATAAATGTTAAAATTTTAAATTATTTTTATTCGTGGTGTTTTTCTTTAGCTATTTCAGTAGAAAAATTGGAATTATTTATTCATGCTCAAGTTAAGACATTACGCCGTAAAATAACATAATTATATTTTTGCAAAAAGTTGCGATGTAAAATAAACATATGTGTTCATTTAAATAATTTTAAAAAAATTTGATATTTTTGGTTTAATATATTTAAAATTATTTCCATAAAAAAATCGTAAACTTTGCTATAATTTTTAGCTTTGTGGAATTATTGTGAAATTGTGAAGGTTTTACCGTGTTCTATGTTTTTTATTGAATCGATTTTGTTCATTTATGCATTAAAATTGGGATGCTTCTTTTAGATTTCATAGACAACAAATTCAAAACACGGGCCTTTTGACAAATTATAGGGAAGATTTCAACTTTGCACAATTTTTATTTTACTATTGAATTTTAATCATGTATTTAATATATAACAATAATAAAATGAAAATATATTAGTAAATAACAATTAAAACATGAATTTTATTTAAATAAATAACCAGTTTCTAATTTTTAAATTGTGCACAGATGTCCTTGTGCGCATATGCCCCAGGTCGCAATCGTCGTAGATCTTTATTAATGATATAATAAAAGAATATTTTTGAGGCAATTATTTTGATAAAAGAATTTTTTTTATAATATGTAAGAAATAATATACAGGTGTTCAGTAAGTCAGGAAACGGGTTTCTATTGTTCTCATTGTTTGTAACAATGATAACAATAGAAACCCGTACTGAACACCCTGTACAGAGTTTTCAGTAAGTAAGAAACAGGTAAATTGTTACAAAAAAAGAGAACAATAGAAACTCGTTTCTTTACCTACTAAACGGTATAATAATAAAGTTACACTATTGTTTTATGTCAACGACAAAGTAAAGTTATATTTTTAATGTTTAGTAAATATAAGTTATATATAATGTACAATGTATCTGGTCTGAATCCTAGTACAGCTGGTTAGTATGTTAGTATATTCAAGTGAGACGGAGTTGGTTAGCTATGATGATAATTGAATCGTTGAATAATAGTATAGTATAATAATAATAAAAATCATACTAATAGTATCAAAAACTATGTCTATAACGGCTACTCAAACACAAATGCTCTTTATTAGTTCGACGTCAGCAGTTTCGGGTTACAGACAAGTAGAATCGTTACATTAGCATCTCCCTTTATGCTTATTTATGTATTACGAATTAAATAATTGAAAATACACGTATATAATATGGATAATAAGGTGATAGTTATAAATGTTCTTACAAATAGGATAAGAATACTTCCATGGCCCATCTGCCATTCGTAAGAGACGACTAATGAGGTTGCGTCAGGTAGACAGCCGGTGTAAAATTTTGTAAAAAAGTATGAGGAGTTTTGAATAGAACTTAGGCGGATTATCCCATCTCAGGTGTACGCGATGAAACAGGTGAGAGCAAATAATGTAAGTTGGAGACGGAGAAGGATTATAAAATAGTGTTTGATATCAGTCGGTCAACTTGTGCGGTAACTGTTTCACCAGTCATGTATACAGGTCTACCCAACACTTGTAGTATCAACGGTGTAGGGACATCATCACTCAACTCTTGACTGAACTCGTGTATAGGCGAGAAAGATAAATAAAATTAAGAATTGTGTAATAGATATTAGCACTTATAATTTTATTTTATTTATATTTTTATAATAATGATTTTTTTAATAAACCGCATTATAATGAGAGATGATAGATATAAAAACACCAATACATGTAAACTTTTTATTTTATTTTTTTTAAATTTTAAATTATTATGAATTAACATTTTCTTTATTTTGTATTTTGTGAGTTGTTCCAATTAAGAATTTTTTTTAATTCTTCAATTGGATTGTCTATTTAATAAGTGCATTTCGAAAATCTACCTTAGCACATTAAGTGGCTAAAACTGTTGGTAAAACAATGGTTTATGGCATGTCACTAAGGAGATCGTAGAGTGTATCTTAAATTTGAATAGATAAGTGTTTGATTAATTGCACAAGGTGCTGATGGTTTGTTGAAATCATTACCCTAGCGGTTAAAACTGTTGGTAAAACAATAGTTTATGACATGTCACTAGGGATTGATTCTCATATTCTGTCACACTCTTTTCGGCAAGTAGTTTTAGACTCTGTAAGGTCCGTGCATCGACGAGAGTAATCTCCGATGGTGTAGCCAGCCTATCTCTAACTCTGTCGACTCTCATATCAAATACACAATTCCATAAAATACTAATAGTTTATTGAAGTCATTACCCTAGCACATCAAGCGGTTAAAACTATTCGTAAAACAATAGTTTATGACGTGTTACTAGGGATTGGTTCTCATAAGCTATCTGGTTATACAATTTTTTTTTTATTTTAAAATATAAAATAACACATATACTCAGACACCAAGTATAGAAAGGAACTACAGTAAAGTAATATTTCAAGTTTAATAATTTGCATAATTTTACAAAAATTAATAAGTAGATAAAAGTCAGTGCTCTCTTTATATATATATATATATATATATATATTACGCAATAAACAATCAAGCTAGCTGGACACAAGGTAAGAAATTATATTTCTAAGCATGTCATAAAATTAAGGATAGACTTAAGATAAATCAAGAATAACTTTTATCGAGGGAATAATAGAATTGTTAAAGGTGGATAATTTGATAAGTTATTAATAACTACTTTCTCACCATTCGGATAATAATAGTACGCGTTCAACGTAGATGTTTTAACTTGTATAAAGATTAATTCAGCCATTAAAGCTTGGCGCCCAACAATTGGACAGTAGCATCTTACATGAACACATATTGTTTCTCATTCATATAGCATGACTAATAAATATTAAGAGTCGTAAAATCCTCCTCCATAATCATTGCACATTTCATTGTAGAATTAATATGACTCAGGTGTGCGTCATACCGAATATAATTTTCCTTCAATTTACTTTTTACGACAAACCACGTGTGGTGATAGTATCTTAATAAAGAGTTCATGAATATATATATATCGCATGCTTTATTTTCACCTTGTAGCTAAACGTACTTCAACAATCCGTTAACCATAACATCTATATATAACATCTATATTCTATTATTATTCCTCTTTCTTAATTATAAAAAAAATATAAATATCACACGTATGGCCAC